GCTTTTTGGCTTTTATGGCTTAATTCAACTGTAAATCCTATTCTCTATCCGTTTATTCAACCACGATTTCGTGAAGCATATAGAAAACTTTTCATAAGATTTACACGACGACGACGACGATTAGTTTTACTTATCGATGATATACAACGAACTAAATGAATACTTAAAATTTTATTTTATAATTGTTAATCGAAATAGTTCCGAAATTTTTACACTAAGAATATAAATTATTCTATTTAATAATGATTGTGATTGTACGTAAATAACTATGAAAGATTGTGTTTGATATTAGGACACAAAAAAAAAAATAAACAGATGAACATTAAAAATTAAAAGATTTTTCTTTTTATAAAATTTGTATAATCTAATTCCATCGAAAAACATTTTAGGTATTTTCAGTTCATTTTAAAACGTTTCTTCAATNAAACCAACTATTTATATAAAGATGAGCAAATCGGTCTTCTTGTGTAACTGTAAAATATCGAACAACTCTGTTCAAATGTACTACTTAGATCAAGAAAAGATGACAACAATATGTTATTTTTGATAGTTTTTCTTAATTTGTTGCACTTATATATAGCCTTAAAAGTTTCTAACTTTAATATAGTTGAATAGAGCATCGATTACTCTATCGAACTGAATAGTTTTTAGTCTGTTTCCTTTGAATCTCCTGCAAAAATCTGATAAGTTTTTACAAGCAGTCATCAACGATTTTTGCATTCAGATAAATTTTTTAAATGACTGCTTCTTACAAAGATACTGAAATTTTTATTTTTACAAACAATAATAGACTGTTCTTACTTCTACTGAACTAGATATGTTTCATTGCACTTTTTATCTTTACTGTACACACAGTTTTTACAGATGAATTATGTTTTGTCAGTTTAAGCATATTCAAACTCATTAACCGTGTTCTTATGATTTACACAAAGTGGTATGTGCACTAGAATAATTGTAGAATTATGCGAACAAAACACATCAAAACTATACTTCATAGAATTTTTAAAATTTAAAACATACTTTTCTCTTGCAGCTTGAGAAGCTCTATCTAAATATGATACTAAAAGAAAAGAAATTCGCTAAACTTTTGATTTATGAGTACTCTACATATACTGTAAGTGCTATAAAATTCGAATATTTCGGTCAACCGATGTCAAAAGCAGTCCTCATTTTAAATCTGTTAGTTTGATAATGAGAGCTGTAGTTTGACCCAAATATGTCTAACCTCATTATTTTACAACAAGAATAATTAAATTGTGAGACTAGAAAGTGTTGTAGTCTGTAGTTTGATCGATTTTGCGAGTTCCGCCTCACATTAAATCAAAATAATAAAGATACCTTTTTCTGAATCCATCAATCATCTTAATATTCTCTCTTCGATTTTATTGACTATCAAGAGATGAAAAATATTTTTCTAAAAAATCACTCGAGTCTTTATGCATGTATTGATAAGATTGAATTTGATCGATTACTATTGCTTTTTTTCTTTTCAGGATCATCCTAATGAGACATTCTTGTTCAATAGTACATGCGACAATGTTGGCCAAGAACCAAACAATTCTTGCACGCCATAAATATAAAAGTATTGCCCACCACTATTTGAATTTCCTTCTGAACCCATCGCTTGGAGTGATGGTCATTTATTCTACACATGAAATCGAAAGACCCATCAATAGGAATATCGGATTATATGTTTTAATGAACATTATTATGGTACCCTACCGTTTGTTGTTCAGTTTGCAAAGATTAGTGAACGATCAAAGCTACTTTGTTGTCAACACATAAGCAAGTTTCGTTATTTACAGGTGAACTTCTCGTCTAAATTCAAAAAAATTCTACACATCAAGCCCTTCTCTTCCAAAAACGTTGCGCTTTAGGCATACTGGATGAAGTAAACAGTTGTCCGCTAGTTAATCAATTTCGATGTGATAACAAATGCATCTCGAAGCATCGTTCGATGGACAATGTTCAAGATTGTGTTGACAGTACTGATGAAACATACAACGACAGTTGTTCTTTGAACGACAAGTATCGTATCTAAGGTACGTCAACAAAACCTGCAGGGAAAATTAACAATGACGCACGGTGTGTAGTACGAGTATTCAAATTGGGTCTAACGAGGGAACATTCCCAAGTGTCACATAGCCTTTGAGTCGAGAGTATGAGCATCATATAGGCCCTAATGATCTATGAATAACCTGAAAAGAGTTCGTGCTGCTAGCTTATTGCTGTCGAGATATTGTATTTTTACGATGTGTTTTTAAGAACGACGCCGTGGTCCCCCCCTCAGGAACACCAGACAAACTGAGTTTATAATTTTGACCTGAAACTTTGCATAGAAACAGACCTTGATGAGAATAGTTTTTTGTGAAAGTTTCAGATCTTTTTGTTGTTCCCATCCGTAGATACAGCTATGATAACTTTATTTGGATAAATCAGTAGATTTGATGTTCTCATTTCAGGATAGGAACTAATCAAAACATCTGAAACTTTCACAAATAACTATTCTTAAGAAGGCCTGTTTCTATGTAAAGTTTCAAGTCTAAATTCGAAAATCATTTTTTCTAGTGTTCCCGAGGGGGACCACGGCATTCATCTAAAAACACATCGTAAAAATACAATATCTTGACAGCAATAAGCTAGCAGTACGAAATTTTTTCAGGTTATTCATAGATCATTAGGGCCTATATGATGCTCATACTCTCGACTCAAAAGCGATGTGAGACTTGGGAATGTTCCCTCGTTAGTTCTGTGTTCAATATTAAAAAATTCAGAATCAATATATTAAATGAAAATTTAAAAGTTTTGCCGTAACAAAACTTCATAAATATATATATTTGAACAAAGTTTTATATTCGGTTAAAAAGTTTTTAGATTCATCGATACTCCAATGAATGAAAATGAACAACACAGACAATGATTGCTAATTACTTTAAAAGTAGTAAAAAAAGTTTCCATTCTAAAACTATTTTTTTTTTCATTTCATAGAGAAACATATGACATCTCCAATAGATGAATATCTCTCAATAGTGAACACTTTTTATAAGCCTCAATTAGAAATATTTCGAGACCAATCTTTGAAGGTTTGACAAATTGTTACAGCCAACACTAAAGCATGGAAAAAAAGTTCGCGGCAATTTTCCTATCGATATAAATAGAAACATTTCTGAGAGCTTTTTTCAATAAATTATATCACAAGATGCAGCGTAAAAAGCTCTACAATTTACATAAGACAGCTTATTTTATAGTTGCACTTTTTATTTTCAAAATAGACAAAATTTTGAGCGACCAAATTTCGACCATGCAAAAACGATATTTTCTTTGGTACAAGATTAATCCGCTTTTTCTTATTTCATATTTTTATAATTATTCTTTGTAAATTGTAGAGCTTTTCACGCTGCATCTTGTAGTATAGTTTATTGAAAAAAGTTCTTAGAAATTTTTTTATTTATATCGATAGGAAAACTACAGCGAACTTTTTTTCCATCTATTAGATTATACACTGTAAAAAAACAGTGTAGAATAATAAACCCTTTTTAGCTTAGTTTTTCCTTATAATGTTTTCTGTGCTCATAAATCGTTTTAGAATATATGAACGGAATAAAACCTTAGGTGAAGGGTTTATCATTGCACGTTTTAAACACAATCGTAGACTAATGAGCTCTTCGAATGAGGGTTTATTCTGTTGATATAGCCAAAAACTATTTATGACACTGAAAACAGTGCAAAAGTATATGAATTTGCAATGGATCACAAAGTTTTTGCCAAAACTTATGAGCAGAAAAGGTTCATACAAGAGTAGATTATGCTCATAAATCAAAAACGGATTTATATAACGATAATAAACAGATAGTGACAGTTTATTATTCTATACTTTTTTTTAGTCTAGTTAATTATTCTACAGTTTTAAATAAAAAAAGAGTATTGAAAAGCTTTCGTCGATGTGATACGAATAAATTCTGAAAAGAATTTCTTATGAATCAGAACCAAAAACATTGATCCGGCACATCTCTTACCCTACGGCCATCGCTTAAGAGAGTCTTTACTGTATATACTTGAATAGTATTTGCTCATAGGTTATTCTATGCTTCAATGACTACATACTCTATTTCACATTGTGCCTGTTACACATCCTGTCAAAAATCAAATTCGAGTCCTGTCTTCAATGCTATTGAGATAGAATCAAGCATTATCAAATGAACAAAAAAAATCCAGAGTCACAGAATCAACTAGGGAATATGATTGTTGAAGCATAGATTAATATATTAGCAAACACAATTCTAGCATATATGAAAAAGAAAATTGAAATGTGTATATCAATATTTTGCATTGTCATTCGAAATTTTAATAGTTTTTTATAAGCATTAATCTTTGTATTATTCACACAGATCATATTCTTTATATTTTCTGTCAGAGCGAAAAAAAAGGGAAGAATTCACAATTATTTCCTCGCCGATAATTAGCATAGTTTCAAGTAAACAAAAGAATTTCTAAATAAATGAATTCTTGTAACCATACCTTTAGAAATAGCTTTATGCTAAAGAATACTGTACTAAAGAATCTTTTTTTTGCTAAAATATCTCGACATTCGAAACTTTCATTCAAACTAAAATATTTCCATAAAAAAAAAGGAAACAAACAATGCACAATACAAATACGCACTATTCTCTTTTTTTTAACTAAATAAAGACACAAGAAAAGACAAAAAAACTGTTACATTGATTAGATTGCAGGATAGATGGTCAAACTTTTTGGAATAGACATGAATTATTTTTTGATAAAAGAAGTAGGAAAGAAAAAGAAAATAAGCACAAAAAGAAAAAGAGAGAAAACAATCGTCATTTTGCACTGTTTTATTTGGCTCGTTTGTTTAGTTCTTCTGGTGGTGTTCTGCAACCGAGTATGTAGCATACAATACTGATTAGAGCAATGATGAAAAAGAAGCCTAAATGTATGAACAAAACAAAAATAATGTATCATCGATTGTTTTATTTATCTTCTTATTTGAATAACTTACCAGCAATTAAAAATTGAATTGCTGCCCAAATAGGGAAGAAACCATTGAGGAATGCATCCGGATCAGTACGACCACGATGATCACGTGTTATTGCGATTATTTCATCTTTTGTTAAATCAAGACCTCTGAGATCAACACAATAAACTAGAAAATGAAATATAAAAATTTTTAGAAAAAGAAATAATTATTATTATTATTGTTATTACTAACCAGTTGTTATGACTGTTGCATAGATTAAGAAGAGACCAGCTAAGGTAACAACGAATGAATTCATTCTCCTTTTTTATCTAACAAAAAAAAAATTTTCAATCTAGAAGATGAAAAATCATGTGTCGATTTAACGTATAAAGCAAGAACATAACAAGCAGCAATCCAAATGCGAGAGTAATAAGAAAAACAAAATACTTTTTTTTTATTTAGCGGTAACTTCTCACATTATTGACGGAGAAGCGAACGAACGCAAAAGAAAAAAAACGTATAAGATATATTGACCGTAAATTGGTGCAAAAAAAAAACCTAAGAATATTTTTCTATTTCTTTATCAAGAAGAGAACGAGTAAAAAAAATCGATGAAATACTAGGTGTATATTTGTGTTCTTCGATAGTTACAAAGAGCAAAACAAAAATGAAATAGGCATGCATTCGTGTAAAGTGATTTGTAACAATAAAATTCAATAGATAAACTCTATGCATATAAAGTAAGAGAAATCAATGACCTTGACAAAACATAAGAAGAACCAATCTCAAATAAGGACTTTATGGTTAATAGCGCTACTTGTATTGGAATATATGAAAAGTGATTCTAGCGTCTCCGATGTTGTAATTGGTTCCTAACATTATTCCAAACATTTGAGAAAATTATAGATGGAGTAGTCTATAAGAAAACTGAGCACCATTAGGGGGATTGGCGCAATGGTAATATGTTGGATTCTCGAGAATAAGCATCGTATTGGAGCCTTCCCTCCCCCAGCACCATGTCTATATAACTCTGTTCTATTCTACACGTCGCAAGCTACTCGTTCATCGATGGTCTATGCATTCCACTCGCATACCAAAATGGTTTGACTCGGCAAGCCATCGCTCATAACTCACGTTATCTATGCCCACAGTTTTATATGCTTCATGTTTTGTGCTTTACTTTAATTGCTTTTCATTCTTTATAAGAAACTTGTTTTCAAAATCATTTGTCCCTTTAGGCCCTATCATGGGTAGAGGGTTAAATAAATATCGCATGAAGGTAGAAAACTGAGCACCATCAATTAAAGATAACACAATTGTTGTCATACGAGAAACTACGAAACAGACTTGTTGATAGAAATATAAAATCTTTTTTTTTGGTATTATTATCTTGAAGTAATTACAAGCATGATTCGAATTATCCAAAGAAAATGTTTTTATTGTCATTTTAAGTGCATAATTCCATATCAATATTGAAACTCGAAAACTTCGTATTATTTAAAAAGATCATAAAATGATTGTTTCTTTTATTTGAAATGGCGACAAACGTGAAAATCTTTCGTAGAAATTATATGAATAGTCGTAAACCTCTTCTCACCATAGAAGATTCTGCTTAATTAATTATTTTCTCGCAAAATTGGAACTTTAATTAATTCCTTTACATTATTAAGCATGCCCTTTTTTCAGGATTTTTTTTATAACTCAAAAAATCTCTTCGCTATTCTTCAAAGTCATTTTAATTAAAAACTATGAAAATAAATGAGACACAACTGAAGATCTGGATTCTTCTATTGTTGGGAGAGGTTTATGTACAGAACATAAGTTGACTTGTTTTAAACGATCAGTTAAAACTATAATTCAAATTTCTCTGCAATGAGTAAACTTGAACATTCTAATATTCGTGGTTTTTTATCACCAGTAAATATTCAGAACATGTGTTTAAATAATTCATGATCTTTGTGTATTTCGATACTGATTCCATTTTTCTACTATTACAAGTACGTATATTGTGTTATTTTGACGAGCTTTTCAGTAGGTAAAATCAATCAATGACGAGAATAAAACCTATTTGAATGTTTAGTTTACACGATTACCTAACAATCAGTTAACTGGATGAAAAAATGAATATTTCTTGGTAGTTTATCCAATAGATCATTGGTTTCATTTCTAAAAAGAAATTATTCATGTTTCATATTCTAAAAAATATTTCACAATTGATTTCATTAAAAAATTATAAACTTTAACGATAAAAAAAAAAAAAATTTCGATGCAGTCTCTATACGATCGTTATTCAGTTTCCGATATAAGCAGAAAGAATTTACTGAGAGAATTATTAAATATTTGAAATATTTTTCTTTTTAATATGAACTATGAACCGTATTTTATCAATAGTAAGAAGAAATCGACTGATTTAGTAAAATTATAGGAAAGATATCTATTGTCTAACTATTACAATAAGGATGAAGTATGATGAATGACTGCATTTGGACTTTTCTATTATCTAATACGTTTGATTAAAAAACATCAAATATCTCATGTGATTCAAACCAAACAACAAACTGTTGGCATACTGGCAATCAACTGACGGTAGTTTGACATTTAAACAATTGACTATGTTTTGATAGTTTGTTTTCTGATCGGCAATCTACTGCCGATATACCATCGTTTCTTAAGACTCTGCGGGATACCGGTGTTACTGCGAACGAACATGTAATTTGTAATGCCACAATATGTCGTGTAAAGTTCTACAATTTTCAGACAAATGTTTATTCAGTATATTCATTTCTTGATTTCGAAATAGGACAAGTTCTGTTCGACTAATTGAGGATGCTGTGAACATGATTATTTGTTTTGTACACGGTGAATTCGTTTTCTTATTTCATCAAATAGTGTACCATAATTTTTAATGTCACCCAATTTTATATTATTAGCAATAGCATTCCATACATAATAATCCAGTATATTGAAATCAAAGTTGTTTTCATGGTCATCTGTAATTGTTTATAAAATGTGTAAAATTTTCCTAACATCATACCAATAATTTCGTTCTTATGTATATCCTGCGTGTCATTCTCTTATTGATAGATGAAATCATCACTTGACACCCGTTGACTTTCAGATTGCACATGTGAAAAAATAATTTCAATATAACTTTCATAAGTGAACGTTTCGTCGAATTTAAATATAATTGGAGACCTACGGCTGTTTATAAATGTACCTAATCATATCAAAATTCTCTTTGGATATTTAATTCATAGCAAAGTGAATAGATTGTTTAACCAAAAAAAATGATCATGTTCATGAACAAGAATTAATTCCTTGTTACATAATAAAGAAAACCATTATCCACAAAATGCGTCAATATTTTATGAAAAAAAAGCTTATATTCAATCACTCCTGAGAGGACGATCTAGCATAGGCATGAATAAATTCTATTAAGGCTTCTCTACCTTCTTCTTAATCACATCAATATATTTTCGAAGAAAATTGTGAATGTAAGTTTTAAGCTGAAGTTTCGCAACTCTCTCTCTCTCCGATGCCATATTTGTCATTTGATCAATATCAGCTTTTTTTGTGAGTTAATCGAGATATAGAATAATGTGTTAAGACCTGATGCTTTAGATTTGATGGATATTTACGGCTACCTTATTTTCCATTTAATCCAATGTTTATAACGATAACCATATTAAATTAAGAAAAACAAAATACGAAAATAAAAAATAGCAACGATGCAAACAAAAAATTGAGCGTCCATAAAAGAAAAAATTCTGTTTGAAATTCAGAAATAAATAAGACAAATCTAGACTTTGCTGATTGATTATCTTCAAACAGAATTATAGTCTATGAGAGATTTTTTTTCAACTCATCTACTTTGTATTAGTTTAATGAAGCTGAAGAACACATGTAAGTTTCACATATCAGCCTCAAAGGAACTTCGCTAACAAGCTTTTTTTTTCTGAAATATGTGCTACAAAATTTGTACGAAATGTAACTGGTCAGATCAATCCACTTAAACAAAGCTTTTCATAACAATAATAAAAATTAAATAAACTCTTTTGTAAATTATGAAACTTTCGTCGTTATATCTTATGGTAGATATAAAATGCAAAATGTGATTTTTCATTAATATCGTATTGGATAAAAAAAAGTCATTAAATCGATCATTGATTTTTATGTTTTTTTCATAATTATTAGGTTTTTTATAAATGACATATAAAAAAAAACAATATTTATTTAATGAATTTATAATTAATATCTAAATTTAGAAAAATATTTTGTTTAATAATTGTAGTTTAGCATGTTGTTTACAGTCGATCTCTCGTTTTTTCTCTTTCCTATTTTGTGTTAAAACAAACATACATAGACACACACATACATGAGGTATGTTGATGATTGACATACAGATAGTGACATAGCTACACTACGAACCAATCATTGTGTTGATGAATCATTGATTTCATGCGTACAATAAAAACTCACTGAGAAAATAATATTGAAAACAAGAATTGTTGAAAATATGTGTGATCTACGACCATTTAAAAATCAAGTTTATGAAACACTTAAAAAAAAACATAATTCACAAAATTTATTTGTTGATTCAGAATTTCCAGCAACAAGTAAATCAATATATCATTCAGGAAAACAGTTAAAGGATGTTCAATGGTATAGACCACCGGTATAAAAATTGATTTGAATATTAAAAAAGACGAACATAAAATAAAATTTCGTTCTTTTTTTTTCTTCTTATTAGATAGTTTTTCGAACTCCTCAATTTGTAATTAATGGTTTTCAACGTGGTGATCTTGATCAGGGTGAAGTCGGTAAATAAAAATTCAATTAGTTTTATTTTTATTTTTTTATATTAATAATATAATTTATAATTAGGAAATTGTTGGTTTATTGCTGGTGCTGGTGCTGTAACACTTAATCCTGATCTTCTTCAACGTGTTGTTCCATCTAATCAATCATTTGATGGAAAAGATTATGCTGGTATAAATTTTGTTATTATTATTCAAAAGAAGAAAAAACAATAATTTTTCTTTTTTTTTATCTAAAAGGAATTTTTCATTTTCGATTTTGGGTATATGGTCAATGGTATGATGTTGTTATTGATGATCAATTACCATTTCATTCGGATGGTAGACTTGTATTTTGTCGTAATAAAAAAGATAAAAATGAAATGTGGTCTCCGTTATTAGAAAAAGCTTATGCAAAGTATGAAATTTATTTTCTTTTCGTATAGAAAAACAAAAAAAAGTACACATTAAGATGAAATATCTTTGTGTTTTTAAGATTATGTGGTTCATATGAAGCAATGGAAGGTGGTTTTACAACAGATGCTTTAATTGATATGACAGGAGGAATTGAAGAAGCATTTGAACTTATTAATTCATCAACAGCAACTAGCGAATTCAAGGAACAAATAAAACGTGTTCTTTGGCAAGCTTATTTACGTAAATCAATGCTTGGATGTTCAATTACTGTAATGAAGATTTAAAATCGTAGAAAAAATTAATATGTTTGTTGTTTATGAACATTTTAGGCTGATCCAAAAGTAACTGAAGCTCGACTTCCAAATGGTCTTGTTAAAGGTTTAATCTAATTTTATTATTTATATATGATAGAAATTCAGATTGTTATTTTTAGGTCATGCTTATTCAATAACACGGGTAGGTGATGTAACGACTAGCTCTGGTTCTGTTACTCTTATTCGATGTTTAAGTAGGTTAATTTGTCTTTTAAATGTATTATTTTATATCTATTTATATTTAATTTTTTAGATCCATGGGGAAATGAAACTGAATGGTTAGTTAATTTAATTATTTTAAATAAAATAATATTTGTTTGATTTTTTTTTTAGGAATGGCAAATATTCAGATAAGTAAGTATAATAAATTGAAATAAAATTTTTTTTTTTTATTTATGATTTAGTTCGCAAGCATGGGATGCAATTAGTGATGAAGAAAAACAAGAATTAGGTGTACATGCATTACATGATGGAGAATTTTGGATGAGTTTTGATGATTTTTTTACTAATTTTCATCAATTACATATTTGCCATCGAGGACCAGCTAGTTTAGGTACAACAGAAGAAGATGCTGGTGCTTGTACATGGAACAATTTATTTCGAGTATGATTTCATACTGTAACCGTACTACCATTGTATACGAACGTGTGTTCGAGGAATTTTCCTCTATTTTTACGATAGATAGATTCTGTACTTCTAGTATATTGCATTATAAATTTCTAACAGGAAGCAATTTCATTTACTACTGATAAGGGATTTCCATCAACTGATTAATCACTTTTGAGTCAAGAGTATGTAGATCACGTCAAATTTAGCAATACCCTATCCTCCAAAGAGCTCAAGCACTTAGCTTATTTCTATGGAGATATTGTATTTTTAGCTGAATACCTTGATTCCTCTTAGAAAGATTAGGAAAATTAATTTTCGAATTTCGACTTGAAACTTTGTATAAAGACAGATTTTAAAGAGGAAACCGTTCCAAGTGATTCGCCACTTTTATCTCTGTATTTTGCCTCTAGATAGATTTGTAGATTAGAAAAAGTTCACGATGACATAGACTCATATTGTGATTTGATTGAGATAGAGAAGGTGTATGGAAATCTTTTCGTAGGACCTTGACTTTCCAGCAAAATTATATTTTCAAACTTTGCACAGAGCGAGGCCGCAACTAGGTTAGCTTGTACTAAAAATTCTAGATGCTGTACAAAAATGTGATTATTTTCAAAAATTTTATGCTTCTCTGATGCTACATGGAAGAGTTCTGAAACTTTTTGTACAAACTAACGTAACTGCAACCTCGATATATGGAAAGTTCGACAATATGATTTTCTTGGAAAACCAAGGTCCTACAAGAAAATTTCAATGAAACCTTTCTATCTCAGTCAAACCACAACGTGGATTCATATCATCTTGAACTTTGGTCAGCCTACAGGCTTGTGACTTATGGACAAAATATGGGATTTAAAGCGATGAAAGACTTCGAATAGTTTCTTCGTAAGATAGGACATGATAAAAACATGTGTTTTGCATCGGTTATATGCTCTGATAAATCGATGGTCTTATGCTAGGATACAAATACATCAAAAGATCTACTCTATGTAAATTCAAAAATTAGTTTTTCTGGTATTCTAAATGGAGATCACAGCATTGAGATAAAATTATAGCACCTCCGTAGCAATCAACTAAGAGTCCAAACTCTTTTTCAGATATTCATGGCGTATTACGATCTACATGATGCATATAATCTCAACTTAAAAGCGCTTAATCAGTTAGAAAACTTCCCTTATAAGTTTATGTTCTTCATGTAGCAATCAGTGTCTTTTATTTTAAGTGTTTATGAGCTCCCGTCGGAAAATCAATTGTTTCAAAAAGAAAATTGAAGTTGAGTTTTTATAGGAAAATGCAGTGAAGTTTCTTCGTTCAGAATATGACTTTTCGGAAAAAAGACCAAATTTTAACAGACTAGCAGAAAGTTTTTCAGCTTTAGGAACACTGCCTTTTTGCTTGCATCAGTATTGAATAAACATTCTTATATAATAGAAGTATGACAGATGGTGCTAGCTTACGTCATCTGTTACGTGCTTTTAAAAATGTTACTTAAATATATTATGAATATGCCATTTTAATATGTTTTTTTTGGATTTAAATCAAAAAAATCCACGTCTTTACTTATTTACCGTTTCCCTTAGAACATGGTTTTCAATTAGAAAAATTGAAATTCGTTTCACCCGATTCAAGATGTAACCAATCTATTTTTTTGTTTTAAAAGTCTAAATGAGAATAAACTTTTGTCTGACCAGACTTTTTGATAGTTGATTTCTGTGTTGAGAAAAGCGAGATTTGCTTGCCTATCTTAACATCGTACATACAAAAATGATCATAAGCAATGAATGAAAGTGACTATCAAAACTCTGTTCAAATAAAAACTACGCACAGGTATTGACTTTCATTTGAAAACGCATCGAGGTCTGTACCTCTTGTACTGACGACGTCATCAAGATTCTCTTTAAGGTCGTAAATAGACTATAAATAAGCCGCAAGTTTACTCTTGTTTAACATATCGGGGTGAAGTTTTTCCTAGAAGTATTTCATACTAGGACCACTCATTCTTGAAAAACACTCATCAAAGTGGTGAATCTATTGTGAGAGGACTTAGGAAATAATCATTTTAAAAATAAATAGTTTTTCATTGAGATCAAAGAGTATATTCATATCAATCAGAAATACAAATTAGCTACGTAGACTTAATATATTGTAAATGATGTTGGAATTGCACAAATATATTTTATATTAGGATGATAAATTAACATGGAAAGAAGAAATGTTTCATGGTGAATGGGTTCCTGGTTCGACAGCCGGCGGTTGTGGTCAACCAAATAAAGGTTTATTAAATAATTTTGTTGATTTTGAAAATATTTTTTGTTTTAGAAAAATATTGGACAAATCCACAATATTTAGTTCGATTAAATTTTATTGATGATGGTGACAATGAGAATTTATGTACAATGATTATAGCTTTAATGCAAAAAGAAACACGTCAACGTCGTCTACGTGGTCTTGAAGGTGAAGATTATGTACAATTTCGTGTTTTTAAAGTAAGAAATTTTGAAAATTTATCCTAATTTTGTTGTTGATATAACATCCGACCAAAGTTCTTGTTCAGCAAGAATTTCTTCTCGATGACGAATATCACGAATTAAACGAGATTTATTATTGACAAAAAACATGAAGAGACTAAAAAGAAAATTTACAATATTAAGAATAGTATAGTAAACATACTAGTAAATTATAATTGTAATTATAATAAAGAAAAATATAGATAACCATTGTATAATTCGAATTTGATAATAAATTGCTGTTGGTTGATATTTATATGGTGAATCTATATTTTTAAAATAAAATAAAAATAATATCATATTAAAAAATTTATGAATTAAACTAGAACTCGTTAGATCCTAAGTTTTTGGCCACAGACCTGATTGCGTTTGGTCCGAGATCAAGTGAGTGAACACTCTAAACTAAACAAAAAATCTCATAAAAAAATTCTTCTTCAGAATTCAAGCAAATCTATAAAAGGATGTATTATATTTCAAAAAAAGTTGTTAGCACAATTCTTGCAGCATTAAAATAAAAAACACTATGTAGCCTCTGTTACTATTTACAGGGAGATTGACAAAGTAGTTGCTATATTATAACGTCTGTCACAGTCTGTGATGAAGAAAAGACCAGAGATAGTCTGCCGGTAGAACCGTTGTATATTATTAATATTTTTGCTCTTAGCATCTCATAGAGAATGTGTAAATGAAGCTTTGTTGAAATTTGACTATGTGAAATATCCCTATGAACAAATAGAATAGTATGACGACCTGTTAGTTCAGTTTCGGTATGGATTTCAGTCCGGTTCCATCTCTTCAAGAGACGCTACTAGAGATGTCTGTCATGGTCTGTGCGTTGGAACAGAGTGCAAAGACCTTGATGTGAGAGAGGATAGAACGGACTAGTTCTTCCCACTTTTTACATCGTGTCTATGAAAATTTAAAGCTGCCATCGAAAAACTATCTATCGAATTTTAGAAGGCAGCTTTCTTCTGTCTTTTTCTGCTAGATAGATTACGTCCGACTGTCTGTCAAATTTTTAGTGTCTTCAATTTGTGAAACCTATCAAGACTTCTACTAGGATGATGGATGAAAATTTCTACCCTGTATACTTTAATACTTCTTTTTTGATCGTGTTTTATTAAAAAATCTTATATGAAATATAATGAGAAAAAGAAACAAAATTTTACTATAATCGTATCTGAAATCTCGATAACGACAATATGTAATATTTAATTGTTTTCCTTCAAAAATTTCATCTTGATCATCTAAATCATTGATATATAAATATGATAATGTATAATTAAGATAATCATTTAAACTAATTTTATTTTCAATATAAATATAGAATAATTTCGATATTAAATCACATGTTATTAATAAATAAAGTATATTAGTTAGAATAGCAATTTTTGATAAAGCATCAAAAATTTTTTCCCATATACCAAGTGTATATACAAGTTCACCAATAGGTCGACGCAATTCAAATAAAAGTTTTATTGCATCTGTACGAATTTCAAATAAATTATTAACCATAGCTAAAAATGGTGCTATTGGTAAAGCTATTGAAAACATTGCAATAAAACCATATTGAACCATTATTTCAATATATCTTTAAAAGAAGATTTTTAAACAGAAAAAAAGAAAATTTATTCGAATTTAATTTTTATATCTAGTTTTTTTTACTCGTCATATAGTTGCTGACGTCCAACATGTTGTAAATATATGTCTGTTTTCCAAGGCGCTTGTTCTGTAGTAGTTGTTTCTCCATAGCTAAGTGTAGTGACGTCATCAGCCATGTCTAAGGAGAACGGAATGAAAAAAAAAAGAACATTTGCCAGGGATGGGGATCGAACCCATGCTCACTATTGTGAATTGGATCTTAAGTCCAACGCCTTAACCACTCGGCCACCCTGGCACATCTCTCTATATTATTAATATGAAAGACAAAATAGTAAAAATGAATTTTTTGCTTTACAAAAAAAATTCAAATAAGTTACATATTCATCTATTTGAAATTTTCTATTCGTTTTTTTTTAAATACCCGTTTTTGATGTAAATGATTTTTGTTGTTCAATATCTTCTTTTTCTTGATTATTATTATTATTATTATTATCTAATTCATTTTTATGATAATGAAAATAATTTAAAAAATTTAAAATTTTTGTTGTTAATATTTCAACAAGTGCATTAACTAATTGTTTTCCAATTAATGTAATTAATAAAATTACACTTATTTCATATGAACATCCAGTTAGATCATTACATGGTTCAAGTCTTTCAGTAAAAACAAAATAGAATACTGTACCAGATATTTTATTTGCTGGCAATGATGGTATCCATGGTTTAAAAAATGCAACATAAATTGGAAGAGAATAATAATTTACAAATGCAAAGACTAAAAAATAACAAAGAACATTCTTCTGTCACTCAGCAAAATTCAATTTTTTTTAATGTTTTGTAGTTATATATGATAATTGGTGATATTCCATGAATTAGTTTTTGGAACCTGTGGTCTAGTTGGAAGATCTGTAAAAATCTTTTTTATCTTTGATTCTGTTGAAACAGATATTTATTGATTAAGTCAAGTGTGTTGATTATGAATATCAATAGTTCCTTGGCGGCATGATCGGTCAAAAATTTGCTTTTCTTCATTTGTTAAGAAAACTGAATAATATCTGAGTAGATCTCTTCAACATACCCAATATTTTCGATATATCGAATTAGGTCATCGATTTCTATGATAAAGTTTAAAAAGAATACTCATAGCAACACTTAGGGAAGATGCAAAAATTTAGAAACAGATTATTTCTCATGCTGAACACGATAGTGAATTTAGTTTCCATTGAAATCCTTAAGATTTCGAAAGCGTTTTTCAGAGAATTTTCAAAAGCCTTTAAGTGCCACTGGTTTTGACATTTTCAGTCATCTATCAATAAATATGTGTTTCAACAGAATCAAAGATAAAAAAGTTTTCCAGAGATCCCAACATGCATTTTAGTTAGTTGTATAAAATCCAATCTGTGGAATATTACTAGGGATCATGTCTACTTAAAATCGAAATTAACTTACTAAATAATTTCAATGTTAAACTCGCATCAAAATTTGATTGATATCTATGTCGTTCAAATTCTGTCATTAGATTAGCTATATAAGCAAATGTAAAATCAAGTATAACACTTATTATTAATGATATTGTTGATGTTATAATACTTATAATAATAAATGAATTTTCTTTTATTAATTCGTATTTAATTGAATGAAATATTTTAAATAATTTTAAACGTATATATAACATTAAAACAATATTCAATGCTGATAAACCAATAAAAATAAGCATAACAAGAAATGAAAGACAACGACATAGGAATATAATCCATAAAGGTATAAAGGGTTCTTCAATACCATTAATTCGATTAATTTTTGGTTTTGTTGATTGTATTAAAAATGATGAACGAGTTAATTCATAACGACGTTGATCTTCATCTATGAAAAACAATATTTCAACGAAAATTTATTTAATTGAAATATTTACATGCATTCCATTGATATTGAAATCGAGCTAAATAACGTTGCCAAAAACGTCGTAAACAAAGAATCCAAAAAATCATAAACACACCAAACATATGCGTTGAATAATTATCAAACATAGTACTGAATCGTTTTGTATGGCATTCATTACTTATTGATACATATTTTTTACGTGTTCGTTGAGGACAAAGATATTCTTTACTAATATTCGAACCTATTTTATATTGAGATTAAAATACTTAGGACCAATACATCAAATAAGAACAAAAATTAATTAATAGATACACATGTCACATGTTTGATCGCACTAGTGCTGATATATCGCAATAGAATGGTAGTCAGAGGATATTCAATCGTTTAAATATCAAAGTAGCGACGGTTTGTTTTTCGTTTTGAATCGCATAGATATTTAATTTTTTTTTCTACTTGTATGTTGATAATCTAGTTTAGTTTTGTTTCAATTAGAACTATTAGTAATTTATAAGTCATTCATGGGTTTAAGATTGATTGAATTAATGTTGCTTTATAACTTACTCACGAGAGGACCTTTTCAAGTGCTAAAAAGATTTCGATCCCATATTTTTGGGCATTATGTAAAGGGCCTCTAGATTACAAAATTTGTAAGATAATATTGGATACAAGGTGGTAGTTAGCTAAGAGATTGAAGTTTTAACTGTTTTCCGTGAAGGATTCTAATTTTTCAGGAAAATCATAGTTTTAATTTTCATCCAAAAGCTTTCTGTAAGGTCGACCATTACCCAACATTTTTTGAGGCCATTGATTTGTCTGAAGTAATATTTATCTACTGAGTGTATGTTGGGATCGATAGTTTACTTTTAAACGTTAAAATAATCAAGAAGAAATCAAATTAGTGAAGACTGTACTTTGTCGAAACAACTTTGTCATGAAAAAACCTTTTAAGATATTTTCGAGATTTCGACCTTTTGTGTTATGCGAACGACAAAAAACAAAAGATATCCACTCAAAAGAGCATTTAGGCCTGTAAACCAACTTCCATCTCGATCGAACATAGCGTCTCGAAGAAATGGAGGTGAAATTTGAGGTTTGCTTTTCACGACTCTGATCCCAGTGTCTCATAGAAGACAGCGTACGGGATGACAAATTTTGCTCTACTCGTCAAGATTTACCAGCTTCCAAAAATTTCTAGTTGCCATTTAACTCGTCATTTAATAATAAGAAGTAGCTAAAGACCTACAAATACCAACAACAATCAGAATCAGTTCTACGATCGTATATTTTTCTTTAATCGATCATAAATCATTTGCTTTTCAATCCTTTTCATGATTCATCAATGTTTCCACTTACATCTATCTTCATAGAATACACGTATATCAGTAAAATAGTGTTCCTTTTCAATAGCTAAGAACTTTCTATTTTGCACTTAAAATCCTTGAATTATTTACCAGTACATGTTTCTACAGTTGGTATATCAAAAAATGCATTTATAATTGAATAACCTGCAACAATACATCCAATAATCGATGGTAATATAAGCATATAAGTATACCATCCCAAATATACAAAATATAAAGCAACATTTTCACCAAAATAAGCTCGTATGAGTTCAATAGGTTGTACTTTGAATATCTGAAATCTGAATAACGAATAATAATCAATGAATTAAAAAAAAAAGATTTAATTTTTTTTTTATTATGTCTTACATGTTTTATTTGTGCCCAATATAAATAAAGTAATTCACGTGTATTATTTGTTTGCTGATAATTAATAATTAATTTTGATCGACATTGTTCATGTGGTGGATAAGCAGTTAAATAAATTCCTATTTTAATAAGTATATTTATTCCATAAGCATATTGATGTGATGAAAGAACTTCAGCAATAGGATGTCGATTAAATTCATTTAATTTACTGATTATATCATCATGAGGTATAGAACTAAAACTAACTCTTGTTGATGGTGCGAAATTAATTGTTAATGATTCAAATGTTGTTGTACTTGAATATAATTGATTTGATACATATGAATCATTTAAAATAGTTGTTGGATGAAATCGTTTTGTTGTTGCTGGTAATAAAGGCATACGAGAAAGTATTTCAAATGTTAAACGAGTTCGTTGTGCTAATAAATTATATTATAACAAAAAAAAATCAAACAAAAGGAAATTTAGTTTTTACCAATAGTAAATATATTATCTTTTCTATTCATATGTGAATTATAATGTATAAAATGACGAGAAAATTTATTATGTAAGCGTTTTGAATATGGATAAAAAACATAATTAGAACGTTTACTATTTTCTTCAAATACTATTGAATCTGGTAAAAATATTTTTGGTAAACCATAAGTTAATGTTGGATAAGTGAGCAATTGACGTAATACAGGATTGATACGATCTAATGGTAAATAAGTACCTAAATATGATTGATAAATTGATTCATCATTTTGTAAATTGATACTATATGCATTATGTAAACTTTAATGAGTTTAGAATCTTAGTTGATTACTCCGGAGATACTACATTTATAAGGTATTTTTGAAGTCAATGCCTTCCTCTACTTCAAGGACACTAGGAAAAATTGATTTTCAAATTTTAAATTGAAATTTTACAAAGATACAAGACTTAGAGAGAATAGTTATTGAAGAAGTTTGAGACCTTTTGACTTGCTACAATCTTAAAATAAGGACATCAACTCTATCACGTGTGTATGAGTGATGTAAAAGACACCCTTTTTTACAATAGCTGACGAATGAAAAGATCTAAAACATTCCAAATAAATTATATTCATTAAGACCTGTCTCTGTGCAAACTTTCGATTTGAAATTCAAAACCAGTTTTACTGATGTTCCTGAGGTAGATTACGGTATCTAGTTAAAAAATATCATAACAATACAGTATCGCGGCAGTAATCAGCTAAGAGCTTAGAGTGTCCGTAGTTTATTAGGGTTTACATAATGCACATAGTGTTGATTGAAAAAAACATTAATTCTTTGGAAGACTACTATCGTCAGTATGAGATCGTTCAAATCTTAGGCGAACAAATGTATTAGTGTTAACTTGTAGCAGACAACGATAGACTTTATAATGACCAAGAAGTGCATATGTACTTGGTCGTATGTATAGTAATATTGCCGTTTTTATTATAACAGAAAGACTTATCTCAGTCTAAAGTTTTCATGAAGATTAAATTGTTAGTAGGTATATCTCGTTTTTTTGGTTCGTGGTAATGCTTGCATAGGTTTGTTTTATCTATTGCAGTTCTACATGATTCAAATAACACAAAAACCGTTGGTAAAGACGATAAAGTCTAACAACATATCGAGAATCGATCAGCAGTAGAGCGAACACGTACAGCATAGAGTGTTTCAATCGAATAGTTTATTTTTTTATTATCAATTTGTAATCGCTATTAATCATTGTTACTGATTCTCTCTCCTTGCAGAATATGACTCGATCATCTATTTTTACTTACGAGTTATTTCACACATTTCAAGTAGTTTTTCAAATGGTGTTGTAATTAAAACAAAAACACGTTGTCGTTGATTTTTAAGTGGAAATTTTCTATAATTTAAAATTAGACCATAATGCTGTAAATTAGCTTCAAAATTTTTTCTCATAGCTTTTTGTGCATGTTCAAAAGAATCTATATTATCATTGTCATCATCCTCATCATATAATGTTTCTTCATAGACAAGAATAAAATCAATTGTATATTGTGTTTCATTATTTTCAATAGATGATAAAATATTTTCATTTGATAATGTTTGTTGAAAATCATTATTACTTAATAAGGGTATATCTTCTGCAATAGGATATAAATTACGTAGATCATGTTTTTCCGATGATAAAATACCGTTAGTCATTTATGAATGAAAAAAGAAAATTTTATTAGGCGCGTTGTTTGTTTTTTTCTTTTAATAATTAGATAAAAGATGGTGTTGATGTTCAAGACAATATTGAACAAGGAAATTTAAAATTTTATATGAGTCAACTTGAACGTGTTGGCGCTAGTGGATCATATATCAATCGACGTGAAGTAACAAAACGTTTTCGTGTTCCACCTGGTTCTTATATTATTATACCGAGTACATATGATGCTGATAAACCAGGTAAATTTCTCTTACGTATGTTTACTGAAAAACAAGCAGATCAAGCGTAAGTATTTTAATTTTTTTTTTTGGTTTTTCAAGACTGTTTTTCGTATTACTTACAGAGAACTTGATCAAGATAAAGAAGATTTGGTGAGATATGTTTTTAAATAAATGTTTTTCTTTTTTGTATTATTTTTCTTTTCTTTCAGACGGAATCTGATGTCTTCTTTCAAGATGAAAATGTTGATAATCTATTCGGTGAATGGTCAAGTTTGTTAGGAATAGATGAAGAAGAGACAGTACCAAAACCAATTAATCCGGATATTGGTGGTGTCTTTCCAAGTCCACATCCGGAATTGCCAAGCAATTATGATGGTGGTGATATAGATGATAACCAAATGTATCCTCAAAAACGATTCTGCTCAATAATGTAAATCTAAAATATAATACGCAAATAGACTATTTTGTTTTTTAATGATATTCTTTTATTTTTTAATAATATCACGTTTGACATATTATCGCATTCGTACTTTCAAAATATAATTATAGCTACTCCCCTTGCTATTCTTAATCAATATTTTAGATAATTATGGGTAAAATTCGTCATCAAAAAAATAAAACTAAATCGAAAAAAAATATCGAAATTAAACCAAATGAAATAGAACAAGAATTAGAAGACGAAGAACAAGAACAAGTAGGTTGAATTTTTGTAACTTTCTTCATTGTTTTTATTTAATTTAATATTTATAGCTCATGGATGATGTAATCGATGATGAAAATGATTTAGCTGAGCATAATGAAATTGATTTTGATAAACGTAGTGTTATATCAAATAAAACTATTAAGTCACTTGTATCAAAGAAGAAAGATAAAATCAAGCTAAAACGACAATTTCTTCTCAAACGTAAGTTTAACGATTTGTGAAATAGAAATTTTACTATCATAGGCTAGTGAACTTCACATCATGTTGCAGATGTTGAATTATCGATATTAGGGTACTCATGAAAACAAAAATCTTCAACAATTCGATACTATTCAAATATTTCTTTTTTCAAGAAGCATGATAAAATATCGATAGAACACTGAATGACACAAATGAATTACAAAATGTCCGAAAAGAAAAAGAATTCTAAACTAATTCAATTTCTATTGATTTCTATCGATAATTTTGTTGGGATCTATTAGACGTTTGGATTGAGGATGAAGATAAAGATAAAGACACACAGCATATATCTTGCGACTCGAATTTGTAGAGTTTCTTCGAACCACTAAGCTCATATACATATATCTCGATAGATTGTACAAATGAAGCTTTTTTTTTGAAAAGTATAGAAATTTTGAATTATTTTGTAATTCATTTACGTCATAAACTTTAACAGAAAATTTGAAGTGTATTATTCAATAAAGAAAACTCTTTATTTTCATAATCATCTTTACTCTCTTTTAAAATGAATAATAATTATGATGTATGCACTAGGAGTAAAAGAGCTTTTATTAGTATTTCCAACACTCAAACATTTTGAAACAACACAGGTCATTTTAATAAAGCTATTTTCCTGGCTATATAGATTGCTAGAAATGTATAGATCATATGGGAAATTTCATTCTTTAATGCCATGATTTCTCAAAATAAAAATTTATATATCTCGGAACTGTGTTTTCAATAATTTTGATGTAGCAAATATATGTTGAGCTACGCTAGATACTCTAAAAAAAAGAAATCCTATTGACTTTTATTTCGCAGAGTTATTATTGAGAAAATTAGTGTTAGTGATGTAACACAAAAAAAGATAAACATTTTCATTTTACAAATACTGCAAGTTCAATTAATATTGTAGATGATTTTTCAAGCTACATAATTTCCATGTCAAGTTCTCTTCTGAGCATGATTATATTTTTGAAAATAATTAAGTTTATTCTTTGTTATCGACTTAAGTGAATACGAATATTTAGACGTCTTGTAAATGAATGAGAAGTTTAAAAACCAATACTTAATAATCTTCGTTGAGATCTCGAAATAATAGCAAAGCAAAAAGTCTCGTTCTGATCCATGAGGAGTGAGATCTTATTGAAAATATTACTACAGATACATTGAGTCTATTCTGAAAGTCTTTAACTTTTCTACCATAAGGTTAAGAAGTTATTCGCTAATAAACTTTAATCAAGTATGTATTAAAAGAGCCTATATTTTTACATATGTTCATGGTAAAAGAACTTGTTCACAAAAAATATGACTCTTATAAAAAAATCATCGTCAAATCTGTCAGTACTTCATTCTAAGAAGTAGAATAAACTTACCGATCCATTGACTAAGTTGTTTCCTCATTAGGTTTACATGTCATTTACTCTGCTTACATGCTATTAAACAATAAATGGAAAAAGTAAATGTTTTAAAATGTATTCTACCGAGATTCCTTTGACAATTTTTTCCGTCGTTTTATTAAATGGTAGAGTATTTTCAATTATTTATGAATCGAATTTCTTTAGGTCTTCACGCAGCTCATGAATCGAAACGTGAAGCCAAAGAACGAGCTGAACGTCGAAAAACGGTTATTGTTAGTGATATGAAGCATGAATTTGAAAATTCACTTGGTCAGATTGAATCTTATCTTGAAGAACAACGTTTAGCACTAGCAGAAAAGAAAAATACTCGCAAACAAATTCTTTCACAAGCTGAACGTAATCGACAAAGGTAAAGTAAAAAGAAAAAGAAGATTCTTTTTTTTTTTAAAACGAATCAATTTTATTTTTTAGTCAAGCAAATATTGATATATTCAATAAGATTTCTCAATCAGTTGAATATTCTAGTAATCCATTTGAACTTATAAAAAAACAACTTGAACAACAAATACTTCCATCAACAAAGAAAAAGAATTGATAATTTGTTTTGTTTTTTCTTGTTAAAAAATAAAGAAAAATAAAAATTTAAGAAAAATCTAGTTGCATATTTCGTATCATTAAAAAAAATATATAGCGGACGCATTTACCTCTCTGTTGTTTTAATTTTTGTTTTTTCCGCCATATGCATTATTTTGTTCCGATTAATTATTTAAAGTTGAGTGAAATAAGTGCTAAAAGAAAAATTTTAAAATATTATTAATGGTTAAGTGAATCGGTAACCATTAACTTGAATAAATTGAATAATGTCTATTGCTTATGTTTATTAATATGAACAGTTTTGTGAATAATCAAACTTTAATATAAAACTAACGTAAATATTACCTCCTAAATCGTAATGCAAATTGCTTTACAAGTATATATGCAAAATATTCCTTCATTTGTCGACTGATTACAATGATCAGTAGACCCTATAAAGTATTCATTTGAAATCAGAATTTTGGGCTCTTTCCAAATTAGGTTCAAAATTTTCATTAGGCTCGCATTTTAGAAGTTATGAGCAAATCTTTGAAAGATATGAAACAATGTTTGGATGAAAACAGTTACAACTAATAGATCCACATAGACAGAGAATGCGATCGTATTCTATTTAAAATTATTTTCTTGATGTTTTTCAGTAATCTTTCTTATTGATTTCGTAGTTCTGATGGGAGAATTGCTGATTTTGTTTAAGTTTCATTTTCTTTCGTTTGACCGTGTTATGTTTTACACATTTTTTAAAAATCAATGTCTAAAGAACAGATTTTCTCGCCAGTAAATGTGTCCAGTTTTACATAGAGTGATGAACGAGATTATGTTCTATAATGCATGTTAAGAAACACGATTCTCTAAGCAATCTTTCAGAAATAACCGAATGCATTTTGTTAGTCTGAGAATCAAAGAACCACGATGTTTCTACTGTTCATCTTAATCGATAGAAAACTTACGGCTCATTCATTCTACTTATCTAAACGAGAATATGTAAATATTATTTTCAAATATTTACTTTACTGAAGTATTTAAATAGTTAATATGTAATTTCTATTAATCATAATGGCAAAAAAAAGTCAAAAGAAAATTCTATTAAGCATTCGTTTTAAGTCATAAAAACGAGTCCTCTTTATTCGTTACATGTTCGCGGTATATACATTTAAAGAAAGGGAAAAAAATCAAAATAAATTTGTTCGTTCATTTAATACTAAATGCTGGATAAAATTTGACGACTGTTGGTGTAAGTAATTCAATTTTTAATGAACTTCTTTGAAATGATGATGCTGATAATGATGGATGTAATGTTTGTTGACTAATACCTGTAGCCATTGTAGCAGCTAAATTTGACGTTGACATAAATGCATTTCCATTAATACCTCCACTACTAAGTGTACTACTAAGTTCACGTTTTGAAAAACGTGAATGATGACGTGTACTATTTGAACGTTGATAATATTGAACTAATGGATTGTCACCCACATTTGAAAAGAAATTATTTGTTTGTTTATTCTTACCAATATGTTGAATTAAATCCATAAGACATAAACGAAAATTTTTTCCACATAATGAATAAAGAAAAAAATTAATTGAGAAATTTGTATAAAATAAATAAAATGTTAACATTTCAATAATTGATTCAATAGAATTTTTTTCATCATATGTATCATCAGTTGACAAGAAAAACTAATAAATTTTTAATAAATGCATTGGAGTATTTAATAATAAAAATGTTGTTGAAATAATTAATAACATTTTTGTTATACGTCGATGATATTTTGAACGACGTAAACGATGTTCTAATAAATTATGTAATATATATGTTGATGGTTGAATATAATTACGTTCTAATAAACGATCATATTGACCAGATTTTAATATAATTAATGTATTTAATGTAAGAATTGTTACAAATGGTATGATAAATGTAAGAAAAAAATCTATTATATTCATTTGTCGTGTAAATTTAACCCAACGACGTAATGTAACACAACGTGTTTCATATAGAGGAGAGTTTGGTCGTTCGGATTTCGCTATTTCAATGCCTGATGTCCATAATGATGATGAATAAAGAACAAAAGCTAAAATTGTAAGAAGAATTATAACATAACGAGAACGACTTGTTGAATTATATTGAGAACGTTTTAATGGATAAGCAACAACAACAAAACGTTCAGTTGTAAATGCAACTGTAAACCTAAAAATAAATTTCAATATGATTTTATTATCATTGGATGAATTGATTTTAATATTATTGAATATACGTTCATGAAGAATATTTATTTCAGATAACAATTTATGTAACCTTTGTCTTCAATTAACCTAGCAATATGATCATACATGAGTATTCTTAGAAAAACATCTAATCATAAATTTGCTTTTACAAAAGAAATGTTCTAAATATTCCAAAGATATCAATTGACACAATGGTTGTTTTTTTTTTTGGAAGTTTAAAATTAGATGTAATTATTATTGATTGTGTTACATGAATGATATTCTCTAATTTTGTTATTGAGTTCAAAAAAATGAACGTCTAAAATGCTACAATTAAAATATCTGGATTTGTTATATTTGTTCTATGAGTCTAATCTAATTGCACTACTAATAAGTTTAACATGCATTAAAGAATATCATATTACTATGACGGAAGTCAAAATATAATTATATAAATGTCATTTCCTCAAGAAAAAGAAGATAATGATAATGCATTAATGTTATCTTATATTATCGTAAGTAGAAAGTTTTCTTTTTCAGAACAAAAGAAACCATTGTTTTTTTTTCTATGAATTAAATATATCAAATAAACGAGAAAAAAAAAGTAGATCAACATGACATTGGATGATATTTATTTTTAAGAAAGTATTTATCGATAAGAATGTACTTGACAGATAATAAAGATATTTAAGATGTATTATGAAGATTATCAAATGATAAATAATAAGTGAATTATATTAATGAGAATTTAACACGAAAGATTTTTCGACACACAACCATCTTGCACAGTGTCTATTCAAACGAACTTTAAGTGAACAAGCAACGAAAATCATTCCTTTAGAGATTCAAATATACTTTGACACATGCTCTATAAATTAACGTAAAAAATTATCTTACGAATTTGAAATAGAGTGGTATGACCGTAATTCAAAAAATAGTCTCGAAATATCAATATCGAGGAGAAAATTATTTTGTGACAGAATTAAAAAGATCTGGTAGGTACGTCCAGTAGATATTCTGAATCTGTATATCGAAGAAATCGTTTAAATTAAATGTAGTTTTTAAGAAAAAAAAAATGTTCGAAGCTAATATACGCACCGGAATTAAAAAGAAGAAAATGTAACCTTAATAACTGGACAACGGTAACAGTTGGTGATCTACGGTTTTCTTAATGCCCAAGAGAAATATGCTTCTGATAGAAGAACTTCAGATCAGGAGTTCAAGATACGAATTCCTTTGGTTTTTAGCAAATTTTCTGACCTTTTATTAAAACTTGCTTCGAACGGGACACTTTTTTCATGCATTTTTTGGAATATTTTGAAAAAATGATGAGTTGTGAAGTCTTTTTATCTTATATAGTGTCAGGAAAAAACATGTCGGAAGGTTTTTTCTTGGAACGTGTGAAAGCCATAGATCGCTGAGTGTAGCCATTGTCGAGTTATTAAGGTTACATTCACTCCTCTTTAATTCTGGCTGTTCCCTTCAGGTGGTTTTTGCTGCAAAATTCTTTTTTTTTCTAACTAGTTCTGAGCAAAAGAAAGTCATTTCTGAGAACCAAAGTTACATGTCTATCTGTCTTACGAAAAATGTATGCTCTCTTATGAACATTTTCTTTTAATGATCTCTTTAAAAAAAAATTAATATTAATCGACTAATAAATTTACATTAAAATACATCTATACATTTTATGATTTTATAAGAAGTCTATGTTTAATTTATCTTAAATACAAACAAATTCTTACCATACAGACAACGAACTACAGACTGTTGTAAGATAAACACCAAATTGACATATTCCATGATTATGAAATATATATAAATGTACATTTTCCAACCAAATAAGACATAAACATATAAGATAACCATTGTCAGATAAAGATAAAGCAATCAAATAGGAACTACAACTTAAACGTCTAGAAGAGAAAAAAATACATAAATAAAAATTTATCATTATTCGATTAAAATACATACTTAAGTTTACTTCGAACAAAAACATAGCATGACATAGAATTACCAATAATTCCAAATATAATTACAAGTGCCATATAAACAACACCAAAACGTTTAAGTAAACGATGAAAATAAGCTATCGATATTGCTGACGTATCAATATCGCTTGTTGCATTGAAACTATTCATTTTAATCTGAAAATTTAAAGTTATTTCTTAATCCCTGTTTGTTTTTCTTTTTTAATAATGAATGACACATGCATATAAACACATTAGCAAGAGCAAAGAAGAAAAATTATTCTACCGAATGAAGATAATACTTTTTAAAAAAGAAAACGACGAAGAAAATAATTATAAATAATTGTCATACTTGTTGATGTATTAAATTCAATAAATTATGAACCGAAAAAAAAACAACAAACAATGAACTAGACTTATTAAAAATATAAAGAATATAAAATGGCCAAAATTCAAAATTTTTAAAGATTTTTGTTTCCAATCTGTTTAGTGTCGTTGAATAGAACACATTGAATTACATATGAGAAACTATATTTTAGATTTTGAGAAAACAATTTTTTCCTGGAAATATCGAGAAAAAGACTCTAATTCTAAATATTATGATTTGCCCTGTCCATAGTTAGTGATATGGGAAAATTTTATTTCCTTTTTGGTATGTAAAACAGGCTAAGAATGATTTCCTTATTCCGAAGGAAAATGAATCCAAAAAAACTTTATGTACATAAATTTTTTTTTTGTCAATGCTCTCTACAGAATAAGGATAGAACCATTATGATGTTCTACGTAGGTAAAAAAAAATTATATAATATTTACATATTGGTGGTAATGGACGACACGAATCATGATATTTCGAATTTAATCTTGTTTTCAAAAACCTGAAAAATAGGTTTTCATAGGCAACTTGATGTTACTCATCTAACGACACCACGGTAGAGAATTTCTGAATGATCCGTTTCAACTAGTTTGTTAGATCATTATAAATCGACTAATGAGAATAGTTTGTAAAAACATTCATTTTTCTTTTTGTATTGAAGTTTTTTTTTTTTAAATATTCAAGAAGAAATATCATGTTATAGTCAATTATATCTGCTAGGCTTCTCAAAGATGAATAGGCGCTATTTCTATATATAGTGCGAGAGGAAAAAAGAGTCATTTACTCATCAACTAATTGCTAAATCAACCCTTTTAGATAAATGTAATGTTTCTCTTCAAACGACGATTCAAACCAAAATTTAATCTATTAAAAAATTTAGTTCAAATAACACGGTTTCGATTGTACTTCTTGCATAATAAATGGAATATACTTCGATTAAAGACATAAAACAATATGGACGAAGAGAAGAATATAAAACTGATAATTCTGGGAACAACACTGTTTGAGTATTTTGATACGAATAAGTAAACTTGCCATCAACAAGCTTCTATCAAAGAAAAATGACATATCTATAAAATATTTCCCAATTGACTACAACTCTATAAGAAACGTATAGAGTTTCTTTCAGGAATGTAACATTCTGATTTCAAATAACATGAACAATAATTTTTGTTAATGTCTAATGAAAGCTAATGAAAACATTAGAACTAAGAGTACAAATAAGAATCTGTCAAATGATTATAGATATTATGATTTGTCACAAAGTTTTAGAATCTACTATAGAGCTCTCTATACTAATCATTTTATTAAATAAAATAATAAAATTTTGTGTCAAAATAACAGTACCAGATCAAAGTACTAAACAACCCGTACATATTTTTGTAGTAGAACTATAATTCTGTAATCTATAATCATTCGATAGATTCTCATTTGCATTCATAGTTCTTATATTTCCATCATCTTTCATTTGACATAAAATTTAATGTTTATGCTGTTTAAAATCACTGAATTACCTTCCGGGAAGAAATATCTGTAGGCATCCTGCTTGATGCTTAAGGAAGAAAAACTCCATTTATCTAATGATATCGTTTATTCATATAGTAATCTATGATTATCTACTACTTTAATATATCAAATAAAAAACATGATAATCACCCGGGTTATTAAGTCAATTATATAAAAATTAGAAAAGCACTCAAATAATTTTCTTCAGCTTATTTCTATTCTTTCTAAATGTCCCATACAACTAGCATGATCATTAAGAGTCGGATATTTTATTAAAGGAATATTTCATCTAAGCTATATCAATGGTTTATTATATGTCTCACGTTTTTTTTTCTATGTGCTATAAATAATTTTAAAAATAGATTTTAAGCATACTTTCAAATGCTTAATGAGACTCTAACATAAATAGAAGAGAAAAAACTGTATTAATAATGATATATGTAATATTGAACTAAAATGTCAGTTTACCTGTCATCACCAAATGTAATGATTATGTCTTAAGCATTAAACAACTATAATCTGATGTAAGAATGACAAGCGCACATCAGTTTGGAATACATACGTTAGATATCATTAAAAAAAAGAGATAATCGATATATAACAGTATGTTCTATTACCATTTATTTGTACAAAAAGTATATCTTTTGAACGATAAATATGACCATGAATACTGTTTATGATGAACACATTTTATGTCTGATAAGAATGTTGATGCGAAAAGAGAAAATAGTCGTAATAGAGAAAGTGATGCTTTTAGTGTCAAACAAATGAATATTTATACACTACTATCATTCTTACAGTCAAATCAAGGTCTTGACTAATTAGGACATATACATATATCATCGAGTAAGGTCATCGACATCACACGCGTAGAGTAGCCTGTTTAGAAGGAGTTCATTCTTACTTTCCTCTTATGTTTAACCTTCACTTGTCGGTTGTGATTCTTCGATAGCGCATAGAAAGGAATACAGAACGCAGTCCAATATCATCAAATAAGAAACATATGACTTGAAAACAGTTACTATAAATCTTACCTTACATTAATCTAAATTAGTAAAGAGTACAGATATATTGATAAGAAAAAAAAATTACATGGTTTTTTTCTTGTTATGTCTGAATCAAAAAATGATGTTAGATAGTCTTGTTGATGAAGCAAATACCATTAACATCATCAGTATATAAGATGCCAGATACTCGACTACTTGAGTGGCATCTTACAGTATGTCATTTGACATTTCGATGTAAAAGAGACTCTTTATTATTAAATGATAAATTCTACGCTTTCAAATTAACTAATATAATTAAATTGTATGAAGGAGTTTTATGAACGTCATCAAATAATAATAGAACTAAATTGATATCTGATTCTGTCACATGCTAAGGCAAGATATATTCTAAATGATGTATAATGACATTGTATCTAGTTGAACATTGGCTATCGTCATGTCTTCGTCTAGAAGGTCAGTCTCAAACAAGTATCGATAGATGTGCGATAACGAATGTAAGACAAAAAAAAAAGAAAAAGAAATAAAGATAGGATAATCAAAACAATCGACGCCAATGATCATCAATCACCTGTCTGTCAAAAAACTCTTGCAAGGTTAATATGCTAACACCATTAATCGATTGAATCATCGTCTTTATGCAAGAATATCAACACAAGAATATTTCTATCAATAAAAGAAAAAGTAACGGTGCACATCTTCTACAAGGCAAAATCAATATTATATGTTGAAGGTCCACTCTTCATAGAATGTTGTTATCAATAATGATAGATTCAATGTCAATTATACCGTGACCAAATTCCAGTATAAAAGATATTACTGAATATAATAGAGCTAAATAAAAAGAAATATCAATAATCGCGTTAATGATCATAGTAGAACTTTGGTTTTCATTATTATCGGTGTCAGAGATTCTAGATACTCACGATAGTAATGTAAATAGGAAATATTACGCAAAAAAAAATTATTAACTTTAAACTCTTTACATGCTTAGCATGGTTGTTTTTTTTATCTTGATCTTTTTCATTATTCATGATCATATGTAAATTAAAAAGTATAGTTTGGTGTTAATTTTTGTCTTTATATAACTTTTTTTTAATCAAAATAAAATAAATGTTATTCCTATTCTCGCATAAAATTACGTTGACATTTCTTTCTCAAATATTTTTTTTTATGTCGTTGTTGCCTTATAAACCATTTTTTTAATTATTTGCATGTTTTATCGGAGAGAAAAAAAATCAGCAGAATTCACTGCTTTTTTTACTTTTTATTCTTTCTTTTTCAAATACTACTTTCATTTTTACTTTCTTTCACATACTCATTCGAAAGTGTTATTGTTCAACAATTTCTTTTTTTATATAAAGTTACTTTTACTAAGAAGAAGAAGAAGAAGAAGAAGAATGTCAACCGATGAAACAAATTCAAAGCTTGATGAAATCTCAGCAGCTGTACGTGCTGCAACAAAATTAAGCAATGAAGCTAAAAAACCTGAAGAACTAACATTGAATATGTTAGCTAGTGCAATTAAATTAGCAGCACTTCCCACTGATGATGAGGAAAAATTAACACCAGCAGCTATTAATGCCGCAATAAAATTGTCTGCAAAATCATCAGGTCAAGAAGAACAACATGAAAATCTAACGCCTGAATCATTATCTATTGCACTTAAATTAGCAACGAAATTGTCATCAACCAATGATAAGAATGAAACTGAATTATCAGTTAATCAAATGCGTGCAGCAATGAAAGCATCTGTAGCTATGACTCAAGGAAATGAATCCAATGAACTAGTTACATCTGAATTACTTACTGATGCACTTAAATTAGCTAAAAACTAATTTTTTTTTGTATTTTATTTATTAATATCTTTTATCACCTATCGAATCTTTTAATACCTACACGGTCTCTTCTCCGGTTAAATATTCATCTCCAGAACTACTATGAAAATAAAAATATTTTTAATGAAAATAAACAAAAAAACGACATTATTACTAAGGAATTTGAAATGATTCAATAAAAATAATACCAAAAATTAATGGTTTTTTTCTTCATTGATTATTAGCTATTTTATTTTGTCGTTCATCGATGTTTTTAACGATTGGCTCAAAATAATTGGAATGTGCTATACAAAACGAATACCTGTGTTTTTCAAAAAGCTCTTTATTTTTGTCGGTACAAAATTTAAAAGATGAACATCTATTCAATTGTCTAACTGTGATTCTCGATTTTCTGCAAGCATTTATTGATTTGTGTAAACACGTGCTCATTAGCATTGATGCTAAAAGTAAAGTATTTGGTATTAATGTATAGAGATTTCGGACTATCTACTTTCGTGACCTTTTGAAGGTTTCTGCTACTATTGTTCAGAAATTTGAAATTTCAGCGAAATCTTTATGAAAAAAATGTCGTTTTTTTAACTGCATTCGATAAATAACTGAGACTTACTAATATCAATTACATTTTCATGTTCCTAATGAATAATATGACATCTAGAAACTTTCTTTCGTAAGAAAATATTTTCCACTATGTATGAATGATGTTGTTAAATAAAACTACATACGTACAACATAGTCGAAATGTCACCGGAGAGTCTTTGATTGTAAATAACTTTTGATAGGAACATGATAGAGAGCTGCGTGTAGCTGCATGATTCCATATATATATAATTCAAGAATGTCGGTTAATGACAGGTTTGCCAGTCATACAGGTGGGCAAGTGAAGTTTTCCGGTAACATGTCAAGGTAAAACTCAATTTCAAATCATTTTGTCGAATGTTCTATTCTTCGTGAAAAGACCAACATACCAAAACTTTCGTTTTTTACCAAAGAAAAATGAGTGTATAACAAAGTTTCACAATAATGCAAAAAATCTGTTCACCAGTGTGTTGATTAAAGCTCACAGAAAACATGAACTGGGAAATAAGAGGATCAATACAAGTTGAAAAACATCATTTAAATATTACAAAGTGTTTCATTTTTTTTTCATCTTGAATTCAGTTTATAGAGATATTTGCTTTTTTTTCATTTATATTTTTCTTTTCATTTCAAATTAAGAAAGAAGAATAAAATACGTCAAAATTCTCTATATATATGTACATATCGTTTTTGACTTGACTAAACCGTTTCTGACACGACCTAGTTTCATGTTAAGTCAATGCATAATTTACTAAAACAATTAAAAAATATGCTAGATCCGCATTAATACCATACACTCGAAGTTTTCGTCGTGATTCATTTCAGAAAACAGGTGCAACATTAAACGGCGAGGATGTGGGCACACGAATGCAACGCATTTCTTGAAACTATAATTTTCTGTTTTTCTGAAGGCTAGTGACTTATTATTTTATCATGAACCGATATTGTTGAATCATATATCAACCCATATAGTTACACAGCCTCTTTCTTTAGTGAAGTCAACAACAGTAGTATTTGTTTAGATTATTCCTGTGATAAAAAGAAACACTTTGAATATGCCGTTGTGAAAATATTTCAATTTCTTTAGGTATCGAAGTGTTCCTGATAGTAAAATTAATTAAAAGATTCAGATAGAGAAAAGAAAAACTTTCGAACGAATACAATAGGTTTTCAGAGGCATAACCAAGGGGAAAAAAGAGTGTTTCTCTATTTCTCTATTTCTATGTATTTCCGGCATACAGAAATACTTAGAAATACGCTTTTCCCCCTTGGGATATATAGAATAAGTATCCTAGTTCGAAGACGACATTCTTCCAAAAGGATATGCACGTTAAGTCTAGCGGACACATAGATTGGGAAGCAGAGATTGAAACAAATACGAAAACTTTCATTTAGATTTTATTCAGCTAAGTCGAATTAAATTGAATGAAATTATTCGTTTGTTTAGTTCGGTTTCGGTCTCTGATTCAGCTTACAAATAGTAATTGATAGCTTCAAGTTATCGATCTTCATATTTATGCGTCATTCGTTCGATACTCTCGTATGTTAAGTGAATTGATGATTGTTTTAAGGCAATACAGTTCAAAGATTCGTGAGAGCTTTGCGCATGAGATTGAGTGCTTCTGAAATATTGTTCATTACATAATATAATTGTTTAATATTCATTTATGTTGTGGTAGTGATCGACGAATGACTCGTTGCTAAGCAATAGATCCTTTCATTTCAGCACTTTTTTGTACAGCTTTAAGGCCAACATTATTTTACTTTGATGCAGCAAAATGGTTACGATGACATTATAAATTACACTAAACAACTGGGTATCATTCGAATCAATATGTATAATAATAAAGAGATCCGTTTCAAAGTTTCCGTGTGCTTCGAATATAATTGCCATATTACTGTGAACAACAGCAAACCATTCATCACAAAATACAGCTGTTATTATCAATTCATCGATAGATTTCGTCGAGATGATTGTAAATAACGTCTGAATCTGTATGATCCGATAGTAATTCTTGTAGTAAACGTCGATAGAAACGTTTGCCTTATTCAAAATGGCCTATGTCGGAGAGAAGAAAATCACAGATGAGCTAATCATTGGTTTTTCGACCACAAGTCAAGTCAAGCATAGTCAAAACTCAATTTCAAGTAATTTTTTCAGATGTTCTATTCTTGAAATGATCAAAATATCAAAGTTTTCATTCTTTCTACAAGAAGCATAAGTTTATAACAAGGTTTCACAAATACCAGCTGGAAAAGGTCATTTGCTTCTTACAAAGTCTTTCAGTCTTCTTTCTTCTTGAATTCAGCTTATAGAAACATTTACTATTTTTTGTTTTTTATATGTTTCTTTTAGATTTTAATATAGGGATAAAAAAGTACAATGTATAAAAACTCTCTATATATACGCTTTTTCATTTGACTTTGATGTCTCTAGCACGACCTATTTCAAGCCAAGTCATAATTCATTCAAAAACAAATGTTCAAGTCCAAAAAAATGACTTAACTTGCCCACTTCTGAAGGACACTGAATTCTATCATGAATAATCTCTTACCAACCGGTTTGTTAAAATATACTTACAATTCTTCTGCTTCTTTCTTAACTTCAGTATTTAGTGTTAATAGAATTATTAACTAGCTGAGATCGGTAAAACATTCCATACATTGAATACGAAAGACAAGCTTATGATAAACGAGATTTCATTTGGATCTTGATTATGACTTTATCGATTTATCGTTCGAATTAAACGTTTGAGTTTCAACGGCACACATCTAAGATGCATCAAAATAAAGTGCCATCACGTTCGTAATCAATTAATGCACTAAAATCCTTCTAATAACACTTTTTTGTGTTTAATATTTTTGCTTCACTCATCAGATTGTCTTCCTTCATACGCAAATTTATTGTTTTAATTCCATCTTGAAATGTGATATGTTTTCATAGTCTCATACTGATCCAATAATTGAAAAAAACTGCCACATCAGTGCATTTGTTCAGGATTAAAATCTTTGTATATAACTGCCTTTTCATCAGCTATGTCACCGTAACACTCAATTATTCCACTCACTCATCGTTTCATGATTAACATCAAGATGTATATTTTTCTAGCTTTTGTGGTTCTTGGTTCGATTCAATGGAGTTATTCGCATATCATTATACCGAACTTGACCCCAGGTGACTTGATCTTTCTGGAATCAAGCATAAGTAATAGCAGCTGCGAGTTCTACAGTGATCTGGAAGAAGTTTGTCCATGTGGCAGTGACGGATATGTACAAAAATTCATCTACAAGTACTGCATCGCCTTTTTGACTCATAAGGATGAATTTATTAATCAAGCATGGCAAAATGGTGTGCGTGTCTGTCTCCAAAAAACGATGCTGGACTATTTGCAGAGCGATCCAAATGCATCCTGTTCGCAAATAAAAAAGCGAGGTTTCGATTCACACACTGATTGTTATCTTCACCCAGATCCTAACCATCCTGAGCTGACATTTTGCCATCTTCCATTACAAGACATTGAAAAAGTCATGTGGATTGCCAAAGAAGCCGTATTTGAACCAGCTGTGTGGTCACAACTCGTTCAATTAATCAAACACTGTGCTGACCAGATTCTATAAGGTTAAATACGAACGAAAAATGAATAAAATTCTCGTATATCACACATATATTGTGCTAAGTCATACTCCAATAAGTGCATACCATTCAACTATGACAGAGTATATGATACGACTTATTTTAGATTTCAAATAGAATGCATAACTTCTATTTTGAGCAATACCAAAATTACATCTCATAAGCTGACAAAACAAAATGAATAAGTATTTCTAATTCAAGTTATAGTCAGTCAGATATTAAAGCAAACAATATTTTAGTTGAGTATTTGTGCCATATCTAATGAACAGTTTCCCACAAGAATTGTGAGCACTTTATTTTTCGATTGAATACCATTCTTTCGCAGTCGTAGTAATTGTTCGATACATATAATCTCTCAAGGCTCATGCGAACGTAATGCTCGTGCTTCTTCATCAAGTGGTTGGTGCATCAACTCAAGTATATAAACGACCTAGAAATCATGATGTATGGATTGAACATCAAACTGATAAACATAATATGTAGTAAAAACATTGATTTGAAATAAGCAACCAACAATGACCAGATGTGAGTGTGGGTATATCAATGGCTATTCAACTAACCCACATCCATTTGTGAATTTGCTGATAGAAAAAGTTCAGAATTAAACGGAGAAAAGCACTTGTCTCCGATATTTCTAGCAGCAACTTCTTGTGCTTACAAAGCAAATAACTATTACCCTATCTGGAGGAAACTGCCTCTGCTATCGATACCAGAAAATATCTATGGTTGACGATTTGAGATGAGTGTCGATAAAAATTGGCATGCTTGACTACATGATGACTATGAGAAA